TTAGCCGGTTTTTCTTGTTTCTTTGTGCCAGAGGTGTTTTATATTTGGTAAAGCCATTCTTTTACCACAGCCCCTTACTATGTTCACCGCTTCTCTCACTATTTCTGAAAATACCACATACAGCCATCCTCCCAATCAAGATCCTAATGCCACCTTAGAGTTGTTAGTGCTACCTTGCCAATCGTGGATTCATACATACAGTCTTCTGCAGTAAATCTTCTGTGACCCATGTCACACACAGTGCCTAGTCTTCTTCATGGCTCAGAGCTTCTTCCAAGAATTCTTTATAGGCCAAATATATATATCACATGGTCTTACCACTACAGGGTTCTGCATTCGAAAGCTCCTAAAGGTTACAAAGATAATTAATTAAATTAATTACCACTAGCTATAATCGAATTGTCGATCTCATCTGTGGAGGGTTAGGCGCCTAAACCACTAGACTACAGGACCCTAACCCTAATATTTTTGTTTATTGTTTTTTATTTTATTTTTTTTATTTTTTTATTTTTTTTCAACTTCGACGATTTTGTCATTAACTTTATTACTTATTTAAACAAACATTACATATATTTACATATACTTTTAATCTATCTAAGTAGTCGTTATAACCTTATTCGGCTACCTTATATAGCACCCAGATGCAACATCTCATATGTGAGATAGACATTCTCGGGTACCTCTATCAAGAAGCACCCTAAGTTCTGACCTAACTCAGAACCTTAATGTATTTACTAATTCATATATATCCTGCTATATATACTACTATACAACGTCTACCAGTTATAATCCACTCTTAATACTTATTACATTACTCCTAATTCGTTTTTTGTATAACTTCCAAATTGGTGTCCTAGGAGTGGGTGCTCTTTATGCTTTCAGTTTGGTGTCCCTCGAGATGTTATTTTAGTTTCTAATCCATATCTCAAACCAGGTGCTGCTGCCGTCCGAAGACCCGTATCTCAAGCCACTTGCTGCCGCCATTAGGAGAGCTATTCGCATGGTTCCAGGTATTCACGTCATATACCACCAAATTAGGCTACCACTCCATTTATAGTACTCCCTATTGGTATGGTGTTACAGAAATCTAGATCCTTAGGACAGGAGTTAAGTACCTCATTTAATTACTGTCACAAGCCAGTAACCCGGGACCTACGCTTTTGTTATGTTTCATTATGCTTCTACGACTCTCATATACTGTAGATTGTACGACACATTACTCACTGGCTGACTTTATTTTCGTACCACTGAAGCATTTGCTTCCATGCTTTGGGATTTCTTAAAACCGGTTTTTCTTGTTTTCTTATACCAGAAGTGTTCTATATTTGGTAAAGCCATTCTCTTACCACAGCCCCTTACTATATTTACTGCTTCTCTCACCACTTCTGGATATACCGCATTCAGCCATCCTCCCAATCAAGATCCCAATGCCGCCTTAGAGTTGTTGGTGCTACCTTGCCAATTGTGGATTCATATACACAGCCTTCTGCAGTAATACTTTCTGTGATCCATGTCATATGTAGTGCCTAGTCTTCTCTATGGCTCGGGGCTCCTTCTAAGAATTCTTTATCAGCCAAATATATACTCACATGGTCTTACCGCCACAGGGTTTCAGATTTGAAAGCTCCCGAAGGTTACAAAAATAATTAATTAAATTAATTACCACCAGCTATAATCGAACTGTTGACCTCGTCTGTAGAGAGTGATTTATAATACTAATAAAAGAAAATTTTTTTACTAATAACATAATTTGCCATGTATTTAGCCTCTCATTCAATACTTTCATATGACTTATAAGTGTGCTAATCAAAATACAAAAAAAATTCAACATGTAAATGACAATTCAACATACTATTTCTATTTAACTTTTCATTTGATAGTATCACATGACTTATGTCTGAAATTCTGCCCTAACTACTCTAGACATCTATCAATTCCATAATTGGCGCAATGGTAGACAAAAAGTTCAAATGTATAAAGTAGTCAAAAAAGCACTAATTAAAAAAGAATATACGTTTAAATATATTGACTATATTTGACTAATTTGCAGCTTTCGAATAATAGTCGAATGATGGTCTGAAAAATAAATGTAAAAAATAATACAAAAAATAGCTAGTTTTTTTTTACATTATTTGATTTTTTTTTATATCTTTTATTCAGATGTATTTTTATATTTGTGACTTTCTTTAAATTGCACTACTAGTAAAACAATCATAATTCGACCAGGCTGAATGTTATATTTAGCCTTAATTTAGCACATGAAATTAAAAAATCATCTTAATTCAACTTATAAATTTATGATTAAAAATTAAAATTCGATCTACAAATTTATAGTTGAAAAAAATCAACTTTAGTATATACATATATATATACAGCATAAATTAAGATCGATTTTAATTTTGTCAAATTTTAAATATACTAAATGTAACATTTAGCCTGGTTGAATCTTGATTGTTCTACCAGTGTATTAAGATATCAAAAAAGTTCTTTATCATATCTGGAATTATATTGTAGGACCTACTTTGTATTCTAATTTTCATATATTATAATCGGTATATAATTAATATAATTAACAACTATAACATCATTTTGAATTGTCTAGAAGTAACATAAAATCATGATCAATCTTAAAATCATTGTGAATTGTAAATTGACTTTTAATATACCGAATATTATTGATTTTCTTTTTTCAATAGTATGAAGTCAAATTTCTTATAACATATCAAATATTATTGATTTTTTTTTTTAATAGTAACATATTGGTGCATAACAGATTGATTTTTTTAATAGTATAAAGTCAAATATTAACTTATAATATATCGAAAGTTATTGATTTCTTTTTCATATTGACATATAACTAATTAATTTTTTTTTAATAATATAAGTCAAATTTACATATTAGTGCATAACAGATTGATTTTTTCAATAGTATAAAGTCAAATATTGACTTATAACATATTGAAAGTTATTGATTTCTTTTTTGTATTGACGTATAACTGATCAATTTTTTTCAATAGTATAAGTCAAATTTACATATTGGCACATAACAGATCAATTTTTTTAATAGTATAAAGCTGAATATTGATTTATAACATATCAAAAGTTATTGATTTCTTTTTCATATTGACATATAACTGATCAATTTTTTTTTTTCAATAGTATAAGTCAAATTTACATATTGGCACATTACAGATTAATTTTTTCAATAGTATAAAGTCGAATATTGACTTATAACATATTGAAAGTTATTGATTTCTTTTTCATATTAACATATAACTGATCGATTTTTTTTCAATAGTATAAGTCAAATTTACATATTGGCATATAACAATTGATTTTTTTTTAAAGTCAAATTTATGTGGCTTATAATATATCGAAAGTTATATTTTGGCATATAACAGATCTTTTTTTTTTCGTCAAATTTACGTCTCATAATATATTGTTCATAGTGAAGTCAACTTTTGTTAAGCGATCAGAATTTAAAAATCATTTATATATATAACCATTTCGAACAGTTTTTTTTTTTTGAGAAACTTCTCTTCTCTTCTTTAAATTTCTCTTCTCTAAATTTCTCTTCTCTGAATTTCTCTTCTCAAAATTCTCTTCTCAAAGTTTTTTTTCGCTAAATTTTCTTTTTCAAAATTTTTTTCGCTTCTCTTTTCGAATTTCTCTTTTCTTCCCTTTACTTCACTTCACTTCACTCCACTTCTCGAATTTCTTTCTTTTTTCAAATTTCTCTTCTCTTATCAAATTTCTCTTTTCTTCTCTTTTACCGAATTTCTCTTCACTTCTCAAATTTTCTTTTCTAATCGAATTTCTCTTCACTTCCCAAATTTTTCTTCACTTTTCGAATTTTTTTCTTTTCCCGAATTTCTCTTCTTCCGAATTTTTCTTTTCTCGAATTTCTCTTTTCTTATTGAATTTCTCTTCACTTCCCGAATTTCTCTTCTCTTTTCTTATCAAATATCTCTTCACTTCCTGAATTTCTCTTTTTTTATAATTTCTTCTCTTACCAAATTTTTCTTTACTTTTCAAATTTCTTGTTTCACTCTTTTCATATTGAATTTTACTTTTCATATCGAATTTTTCAATTTCTCTTTTCTTATCGAATTTCTGGAATTTCTCTTTTCTTATCGAATTTCTCTTTACTCCCTTTTTTATTGAATTTCTTTTCACTTCTCGAATTTCTCTTCTCAAAATTTTTTTTTACTAAATTCTCTTTTGCCATGGCTAGAACAAAAAGAGTCTGACGAACAACACCCCCAAGCCGACATCCATCTACTACAACTTATCGTCAACCTAACAATACACCTTCAACTCCAACAACACCAACTCAACGTCAACCTAACAATACACCTTCAACTCCAACAACTCCAACTCAACGGCAACCTAACAATACACCTTCTACTCCAACAACTCCAACTCAACCTCAACTTTCTTCGACTCCAACTCAACCTCAATTTCCTTCGACTCCAACTCAACCTCAACCTCTTTTGACTCCAACTTAACCTAAACCTCCTTCGACTTCAATTCAACCTCAACCTCCTTTGACTCCAATTCAACTTCAACCTACATCTTCGACTCCAATTCAACCTCAACCTACACCTTCAACTCCAATTCAACCTTCGACCTGATTATCAGGAAATGTGACTCCTGTTGAATCTGTTACTCCTATCCTGAGGTCTCCTGTGAGAACAGATAGAAGCAGAAGCAGAAGTGGAGAACAAACCGAATCTTTGGCTAACTTTGATTTATTGAAAAGGAGTAGAAGACTGGAGAATAGTAAATCTACTGGTAGAATTTAAATAGCTGTCGAATGCTGATTTTATTTTTTTACTTTTTTTTATATTTTTTACTATTTTTTTATTGTCTTTTTTTATTATTATTTTTTTATTTTTTATATTTTTTTATATTTTTTTATTTTTATTTTAGAAAATCGGTTGCTATAAAGTGAGATCAGTACCTTACATAAGATCCAAAAGGACCAAGATCGTAAAATTATGCAGTTGGAAGATACTGTGGATTTGTTACAGGATCAAGAACTTAAGTTCGTAGACTTTGAAAATAGTTTGGATGTGTTGCGGAGTTCATATAACTCCTTAGTTTATCAAATCAACAGCTTACAAGTTTTAAGTTGCCAGTCATTAATGATTCAAGAGCAGGTCGATTGGGTAGAAAGGAAAGTGTCGGAATAATTATTTGCCGCACAACAAAAAACAGCTAGAAAAGCTCCTGCGAGTAATAAGGTGTATCAAGTTTTTGAAAATGACCATGAAAAAAAAAAGGCACTTCGTGTTTATACTTTTTGACTTATTTTTTTTGTTTTTATTAAAATCTTAATTTATTTTTTTTGTTTTTATTAATAATTAATTTATTTTTTTATTTTATTTTATTTTATTTTTATTTTTATTTTTAATTAATTAATAATTAATTTATTTTTTTATTTATTTTTAATTTTATTATTAGAAAGAAATCTTTTACATTCTTAAAAAAAAAGGTAAAGAGTATAGACTTGACTTCACCAAAAAATAGAAGGACCAAAAAGAACGCCTAAGTAAAAATACAATTTCTGCACTATTTGACCTTTTGGGCCAGCAGTTTAACACTGATCGAACAGAAATGAGAAGCATTCTGCAACAATATATCAAATCGATTCGTAGCACTCGGGCTATATGTTAGGATCCAGATAAAACAAAGAACTTCAATGAACGTATACATAATAATTACCGAAGAGGTGATGCATGTTTTCTTTATTTATTTTATTATAATTTTCATTATTTATTTTATTATAATTTTTATTATTTATTTTTTATAATTTCAATTATTTATTTTATTATAATTTTCATTATTTATTATAATTTTTTTTTTCTAACTTACAGAAAATGGCTTGATGGGTCTCGGCATTCAAGTACCTTCATGGAAAGAAAGATTCCCAGGTTACCAAATATAATACAGATGAATTAACAAATTTATTAATAGATAATGATATCTATTCATCTGAACTATCAGACCCTGGTAAGGCTACAGATGAGAGAAGACAATTGTATGTTAATGTTCATAGCCTATCTTGGAGGTCGAGTGAGGTATAATTTTTTTTTTTTGTTTGTTAAATTAATTCAACTAATATTTAATATATGCTGTTATACGTATTAATTTAATTAATATTATTTGACTAATCTTTAATATATAATATTACATTAATTCAACTAATATTTAATATATAGTATTTGACTTGCATTCAATCTAATCGAATACAGGTCAAATACTATATCATTCGGCATCGAATTTACTAATTATAAAAATTTATTTTTTTATTTTAATAGTTAATTCACTTGTTGCATAACGTCCTCGATCCAACAATCATGCCAGCTCAAAAATGTCCCTGTAGAAGATTACATACGTTGAGAGTTCAGAGACCTGAAGTGAAGAAAATAAAAAAATTTATTCTAGTGGGGATGAAAGGGATAAAGATAATGATGATGAAGATAATGAAGATGACGAAGATAATGATGATGATGATAGTGATTATAATGAGGATGAGGATGAAGGTGGTAATGATAGTGGTGGAAATGGGGGTGGTGGAAATAGGGGTAACAAAGTAAGTGGTAAAAGACCAGCTTCTAATATTATAGTGGAACAACCAAGTAAACGAATAGCTTAATATTTTTTTTTTAATATTTTTTTTGTTTAATATTTTTTTTTATTTTGTATATATATTTGTATCTATGCTTATTAATTATTAATAAATATATTGAATTTTTTCCGATTATAGTCTGATTTATTTTAATATTATTATATATAAATATCCTAATATTCGACTACCTAATTTTATTCTGAATGTTTAGTAGTCGACTACTAATCGCCCTATTTTATGTTAGTATTTGCTAATCGAATCCTTATCGATTTATTATAGCATTCAACTACCGAATGAAATGGCCGATTCGACCTGAATTTGATAGTTGAATAATTGGCTAATTTATATCGAATTGTTGAAATAATTTGACTATCGAATTCAGGTTGAATTGTTTTAACAATTCGATATAAATTAGCTAATTATTCGACTATTGAATTCAGGTCAAATTGTTTTAACAATTCGATATAAATTAGCCAATTATTCGACTATTGAATTCAGGTCGAATTGTTAAAACAATTCAATATAAAATTAGCCAATTATTCGATTATCGAATTTAGGTTGAATCGGCTATTTCATTCGGTAGTCGAATTTCTTATATTTGACTAGTGTGTATATGTGATTTGATATCAGAGGGTCTGTGATTACTTCCTGGTTTAGTTTGATATTGTCAAACTTGACTGGGTCTTTATACCAATTTAAAATACTATTAAGCATAGAGGTTGGACTAGTTTGAAGCTTTGTACATCTCTTTGCAATTGCTTCAGTAATTTGTTGATGTGTTAGCCTAATATTTTCGAGATTATATGTGTGATAAAGCTTTTTCTATTCAGTATTAGCTCCTGTTATCTATTCTGTAGTACACATAAGAGGAGGTATTTTTAGTTCATATGTGCTGTTAAGTTGAGCTATAGTTGTTTCAAGGTGTTCTGGGGCTATCTGGTTGGTTTTAATAGCATGTTTAACTATTCTTATAATATTTTCAAGCTTTTTAAAACTGTAGTGTAGCTGGGTAGCTTTGGGTGAGAATGTATGCTAGAAGTTACAGACAGCAAATCTTTTGTTAGGGATGTGCTAGAGTGCTGCTGTGATTACACTGGTTTGAATTTTATACCAAATAGTTTCAAAAGACTCAGAAACAGGTAGTAAGAGAAGTGTATTGTGCCACTTTAGGTTTGAAGTAACTTGGTTTGCAAAGTTTTCTCATTTTTCTCGATTCATTGCTTTGTAGTTGAAGATATTTCTCCGAGTGTGGGTTCTATGTCTTTGTTGTCCTGTTTGTGCAAAAAGAAAGAGCCAGCATGAGATGAAAATTTTGTGATCACTTTGAGTACTAGTGATAGATCATCTGTATCATAGTCTGTTAGGTATTTGAGAATTGGTTGGTAAGTCCAAATAAAGTCAATCTCGCTACTATGATTAGCTCTATACTAGGGATAGGCTGATTTGTTTGAGTGTGCAGCTAGGTCATACATGTTATTATATTCTAGATATTGAAGAAGTTTGTACTTAATAGCCTGTGAGTAGATATTGTCTGTAGATGCGTTGAAATCTCCTAGAGTTATTGGGTGAATACTAGCTACTTTGCCCTGCTAAAGCCATTGAATTATAGTGTTTTGGGTCTGGAGATGAAGTTGTGCATCATTGCTAAAAAGATAAAGAGAAATAATACGAAACCTGAAATAATGCTTAAAAAAGAGATTGATTGCAATAGCATATCCTGGGACTAGACTAATGCTATGAATATGAGGAGCAAGATTGTTATGAATTATAATAGCTATTCCTGCTTTTGAGCTATCTGTGCATAACTAGAGATAATGTAGTACTGTGTTTTGTATCATTTATGTGAAAATAGCTCACTTGAGAGTTTGGTTTCCATAATCTGATAATATCTTAATTTTGTTGTAGGCAATACTGTTTCCAAATCTCTTTTTTGGTATCATTGTTAAATCCTTGTACATTGTATGTGCAAATTGAGAGTATGAATGGCTGGAGTGGGAAGGATTGAGAGGTTTGTACTTGCATGTAATGGGGTAGGTTAGATTGTGAGGTTTGTGCTTGTCAGTGTGTAGTTACTTATTGGGGTGTTTATTTGTATCCATTGGAGTTGGTTTGTCCAATAGTAAAGAGTTATCAGAATTGTTTAGCAGGGAGGTGTTGTTGCTATTGTTGAGTATAGTTTTAGCTAGAGTTAAAAGTGCTGCTAAAGTGTTATTAGAACAAGAGGTTGTGATAGCAGTATCCTCTACTATAGGTATTGGGGTAGATGCCTAGGCTTCTGCAAAAGATTGTACTGTACTAGGAGTAGTTGAAGTAGATAGTGGTGGTGTATAGCTAAATATTCCCCAAGCTGGGGTTGGGAGAGGAGAAAGGTCCAGTAAGAAGTCTGGAATCTTTTTAATTGTATAGAATTGTCTAAAAGCTTGCATAGTTGAGGTAATATCAGATTGTTTCTTGATTGGAAGTGAAACAATAACTTCTTCTCTGAACAAGGTTTTAATAATTTTCTTAATGTCTTCTGGGATATTAGAAAGAGTATGCTGACTCTTTGGGTTGGTACTCTTAGAGCCAGTTGAAGGACTACTGCTAATCTGAATCCTGTTTGAGGGAAGCTAAAAGAAGTAGTAGTATTTGCAAAGAAGTTTAGCTATAGCTGTGAGTTCTTGTATAGACATAATTGGAAATGTAATGCTATAATGTTTAGTAATTTCCTCTGCATCTGGCAGAGCAGGTTTGTTAGTAGAATTTGCTTGCATGATTGTGGTAGGGAGAGAAAATTAAAATTTGTAATAGGGAAGATTTGCCTAATAAACTCTTTGGCCTCTGCATCATTTGTAATTGTAAAGTTGAAAGTAGTTTTAGTTCTAATTTTGTTAATATTACTTGACTATAAAGAAGTCATTTGGTAATAGCTTGAATGTATAGAATTTTCTTAGTTGGAAAACAACATCAGCCAGAAATATAAGCAAAGTAGCTTGGTTAAAAGGGAAGAATTTTCGAACTTTATGATTAAGCTTCACAATTTTTGTGTGGTGTATCTTTATTGTGCCAACCAAAAGAAAGGCTAAAGAAATTATAAAAGAGGCAAAACTATATTTTTTTAAAAACATTTCTAAAAATAAAAAATAAAAAAAGTTAAAAATTTATATCTATAATAGTTTAATTGGTGATCCACTAGTCAACCAGAGAATAATAATAGCAAAATGGACTCAAATTACTTATAAAAATTGGGGGTCTCCAAATGTGGCGTATGCGCATCTAAAACTTTTTTATACTAAGTTAATCACTTTTCTAACTTAAGAGACTTTTGTAGAGCTTGTCAAGACATATCTAATGGTAGATAGAGCATCAAAATCGGCTTGGTAAGTGCCGAGAAATCTTTAAAAAACGTTTTTTTTACTATGTAAACTTCTTTGAAAACAATACTATTGTTTGCAAAGAAGTTTACATAGTAAAAAAAAACATTTTTTAAAGATATCTTGGCATCCACCAAACCAATTTTGACATTCTAACCACCATTAGATATGTTTTGACAAGCTCTACAAAAGTTTCTTAAGTTAGAAAAGTGATTAACTTAGTATAAAAAAGTTTTAGATGTATGCACGCCATATTTAGAGACCCCCAATTTTTATAAGTAATTTGAGTCACATTTTACTATGATCATTCTCTGGTTGACTAGTAGATCACCAATTAAAAGAGGTGCAAATTTTGTTAAAAGACCCTACCACAACAAGTTAGTAGCAATAAACACCCAAAACAGCAATAAAGCAGTTTTTTAATCCTTTCACAAAAACAGTCTTAAGGACACTCAACTTTCATATAATCTAAAAGATTTTACAAATAGTACTCTAAGCAAAAACAGTAAGCAATTACAAGTTTCATATCATACTAAGCCCCCAAGACTCTGACAAAAACATGGTCTCTGAAAGCTCTTCCTTCCACTGGAATATTTTTTTCCAAAACACCAAGGCCACTTCACCTGAAAAAACCTCTACTATTAGCTCACCGCTAGTTCCTAGTGTAGAACACACCAAAAATTTTTAAACATTACTATTAAAGATTGGTTCAAACTCACATTCTCTGTTAGCTTTTCTGTTCTTGAATATGCTAACTCTTTCGTCTTCTATGTTGATATTACCAAATCTGGAAAGATTCCCAACTTGACTGACTATCCTCCACAATAGTTATACAGATATGAAAATCTTGCCCAATTAGTTTTGTTTGACCTTATATTGCAAAAAAGCAACATTGTTAATATTAGTGCCAAACTTCCAAAACCTACTTGGAATAGTGATCTTGTAACAATCACAAATCTATACAAAGCCAGTATGAAACCCTATTTAAAAGCCAAAGGTACAGAAAACTTAGCCTCAATTCTGTACAATATAATTACAAATCTCGATTCAAATAATGAGTCCAATAGAAACTACAATGGGCAAATTGTACATATAGCCACCA